TTGGAGACTTTTCAAAGAACTTAGAACTACCATTTGACCTAGCAATCCTATTATTTGGTACGATGAATCCTTCTACCAAAAAGACACATGCATTCATATGTTCATCGCACCACTATTCACAACAGCAAAGACACAGAATCAACCTAGGTGCCCATCAATGGTGAACTGGATAAAGAAAATGTGGTATGTATACACCATGGAATACTATGCAACCATATAAACGAATTAAATCATGTCCTTTACAGCAACATGGATGTAGCTGGAGGCCATTATCCTAAACAAATTAACACAGAAACAGAAAACCAAATACTGCATGTTCTTACTTATAAGTGGAAGCTAAACTTTGGGTACACATAGACACAAAAATGAAAACAATAAACACTGAAGACTACTAGAGGGAGGGAGAGGGGAGAAGCAAGGGCTGAAAATTACCTATTGGGTACTATACTCACTATCTGAGTGACAGAATCATTTGTACCAGAAACTTCAGCATCATGCAATATACCCATATAACAAACCAGCACCTGTACCCCCCGAATCTAAAATAGAAGTTGAAATTATAAAAAACAAAACCAAAAAGACCCCAAAAACTATTCATTATGCTATTTGAACACATTTCTAGCATTTTACAGTAACCTATAGCGATTTTGTTATAGTATTATATACAGTATTTCAAAATAAAAGTGTTATTGCCTTATACTTTATAGCACTTCACAAATTTCAAACTATTACACATATTAGCACTTTGTTTAGTGCGTTATGCAGAGTATGTCAATAACATCTGATGAAGTAAATCCTCATATTAGATTTCATTATAACTTTTTTTTTTTTTTGAGACGGAGTTTCGCTCTTGTTGCCCAGGCTGGAGTGTAATGGCGTAATCTCAGCTCACTGCAATCTCTGCCTCCTGGGTTCAAGCAATTCCCCTGCCTCAGCCTCCCAAGTAGCTGGGATTACAATCATGAGCCACCACACCCAGCTAATTTTATATTTTTAGTAGAGATGGGGTTTCTCCATGTTGGCCAGGCTGGTCTCAAACTCCTGACCTCAGGTGATCTGCCCACCTCAGCCTCCCAAAGTGCTAGGATTACAGACGTGAGCCACCGTGCCTGGCCCATTATAACTTTTTATGCATTGTTTATAAGTCAGTAGGCACAATGAAGTTTGTCAAGACAATAGGGTTGAGCTCTAAGGAACACAGTAAAAACCCATAGCCTGTAGTCCTAGCTACTCAAGAGGCTGAGGCAGGAGAATCGCTTGAACCAGGGAGGCAGAGGTTGCAGTGAGCTGAGATTGCGCCACTGCACTCCAGTTTGGCAACAGAGAGAGACTCCATCTCAAAAAAAAAAAAAAGAAAAGAAAAGAAAGAAAAGAAATGCAACTGATAGAGAAGAACTTCTTCAACTTGATAAAGCACATCTACAAAAAATTTACAGCTAACATCATACTTGATGGTAATAAATTGTAAGTTTACCCACTAGGATAAGAAACAAGGCAAAGATGTACCCTCTCATTAACATCATACTGAAAGTCCGTGCTAATGAAATAAGGCAATGAAAGGAAATAAAAGGCATACAGATCAGGGAAGAAGAAATAAAACTATCTTTGTTCACAGGTGATATGATCATATAATAACAAAAAAGTCACTGAACAAGCTACTGGAACTACTAAGTGATTACAGCAGGGTTGAAGGATACAAGTTTAACATACAAAAGTCAATCACTTTCCTATATACCAGCAATGAACAGGTGGAGTTTAAAATTAAAAGCATAATACCATATAAATATACCAGCAATGAACTTTCCTATATACCAGCAATGAACAGGTAGAGTTTAAAACTAAAAGCACAATACCATTTATATGATTTCCAAAATGGAAGACCTAGGAATAAGTCTAACAAAATATATGTAAGATCTATAGGAGCAAAAACAACAAAACACTGAAGAAAGAAATCAAAGGACAACTAAATAAAATGGCGAGATAATCTATGGTCATGGATAGACTCAATATTGTCAAGATGTCAGTTCTCCCCAACTTGATATATACATTAACTGCAATCTCAGTAAAAATCTTAACAAGTTATTTTGAGGATATTGACAAACTTATTTAAAGTTTATGTAGAGAGGTAAAGCCAACACAACATTAAAGAAGAAAAACAAAATTGAAAGACTGAAATTACCCGACTTCAAGACTTATTATAAAGCTACACGCCACACCCACTTACTCCAGCACCCAGGTAGAGAACCAAAGGGCCTGAGGACAGGACTGCCTCACCCACTACTGCCAATGCAGGCACTCATGTTTGTCATCTGGGTGCCTGGGGATCAACCACTTATCTTATCCACAATGAGATACCATCTCACCACAGTTAGAATGGTAATTATCAAAACAACAAAAAGTAACAAAAGCTGGTGAGGATATAGAGAAAAGGAAACTCTTATACTCTGTTGGTGGGAATGTAAATTAGTACAGAAACTATGGGAAACAGTATGGAGATTTCTTAAAAAAAACTTAAAAACAGAACTTCCAGATGATCCAGCAACTCCACTATTGGGTATCTATTCAAAGGAAAAGAAATCAGTGTATCAAAGGGCTACCTGTACCTCCCCCCATGTTTACTGCGGCACCATTCACAATTCTCAAGATACTGAATCAACCTAAGTGTCCTCAACAGAGGGACACAAAGAAAATGTGGTATATATACACGATGGAATCGTATTCGGCCATAAAAAAGAATGAAATCCTGTCATTTGCTGCAACACAGATGGAACTGGAAGTCATTATGTTAAATCAAACAAGCCAGGCACAGAAAGGCAAACATCGCAAGTTCTCACTCACATGTGGGAGCTAAAAACGCTGATCCCGTAGAGGTAGAAAGTAGAATGAGAGTTAACCAGAGAGTGGGAAGTGAGGAGGGGATGAAGAATGGGTTAATGGTTAATGGGTATAAACATACAGTTAGATAGGCAGAATAAATTCTACTTATTGGTAGCACAGTAGGGTGACTCTAGTTAACAATAATTTATTGTATATTTCAAAACAGCTAGAAGATTTGAAATGTTTCCAACACAAAGAAATCATAGTGTTTGAGATGACAGATATCCTAATTACTCTGATTTGATCATTACACATCACACATTTGATCATATACATTGCATGGTATCAAAATATTACATGTATCCCATAAATATGTACAATTATTATGTATCAATAAAAATATGTAAGTAAAGCTATAATAATCAAGATAGTGTGGTACGGCAAAAGACAAATAGATCGATGGAGTAGAACAAAGAGATCAATGGAACAGAACAGAGAACTGAGTCCAAAAAACAGAACCACATAAATGCAGTCAACTGATTTTTAACAAAAGAGCAAAGGCAATACGATTGATAAAAGATGGTCTTTTCAACAAATGCTGCTGGAACAACTGGACATCCACATGCAAAAAAAAATGACTCTAAACACAGATCTTACACCTCTCACAAAAATTAACAAAATGGATCACAGAGAAAAATGCAAAATGCAAAGCTACAAAACTAGAAGGTAACACAGGAGAAAATCTAAGTGACTTTGGGTATGGCAGTGACTTATTTTTATATATAACACCAAAGGCACAATCCATGAAAGAAGGAACTGATAAGGCGGACTTCATTTTGCTCTGCAAAAGATACTGTCAACAGACGAGAAGACATGCTACAGACCGGGGAAAAAATGTTTACGAAAGACTGATAAAGCACTGTTATTCAAAATATACAAAGAACTCTTAAAATTCAACAATAAGAAAAACAAATGACTCAAAAAATTGGAAAAAGATCTGAACAGACACATCATCAAAGAAGATATACAGATGACAAATAAGCATGTGAAAAGGTGTTCCATATTATATGTCATTAGGGAAGTGAAAATTAAAACAATGAGATACGACTAAATACCTACTAGAATGGCCAAAATCCAAAATACTGACAATATCAAATGCTAGCAAGGATGTCGAGCAACAAGAACTCTCATTCCTTGCTGGTGGGAATGCAAAATGGGTATAGCCACTTTGGAAGATAGTTTGGTATTGTCTTATAAAGCTAAATATATTTTTACCATATGATCCAGCAATCATACTCCCTCAGCAACCATACTCCTTGTTATTTACTCAAATGAGCTAAAAAGTATGCCCCCACAAAAACTTGTACATAGATTTTAAAGTAGCTTTGTTCATATTTGCTAATATTGGTAGTAAACAATATGTCCTTCAGTAGGTGAACAACTAAACTGTAATACATTCAGATAATGGGATATTATTCAGTACTAAAAATAAATGAGCTATCAAGTCATAAAAAAAGCACTAGAGGAAACGCACATGCATATTTCTAAGTATAAAAAGCCAATCTGAAAAGGTTACATACGTACTGTATGATTCCAACTATATGACATTCTGGAAACGGCAAAACCACGGAGACAGTAGAGAGTTCAGTGGTTACCACAGGATAGGGTATAAAGAGGGAGGAATAGGCAAAGCACAGAGGATTTTAGGGAAGTGGAAGTACTCTCTGTAATACCATAATGGTAGACACATGACATTATGTATTTGTCAAAACCTATAGAATGCCTAAAACTAAAGGTGAACCCTAACGTAAACTATGGACTTTGGGTAATAATAATGTGTTAATGTAGGTTCATCAGTTCTAATAAATTGTAACACTATGGTGCAGGATAGTGACAGTAGGAGAGGCTACGCGTTTGTGGGGCAGAGGGTATACTCTCTGTACTTTCTGCTCAATTTTGCTGTGAGCCTACAACTGCCCTTAAAAAATCAAGTCTAATAGAAAATCGAACCAAAAAACCAAACCATAGCTCTTCACCATCTTCCAATACTTCCCCCAGATCGTTAAAAACAGCTGTTTTAAACATGGATCAGAGGGCAAAACCATTACCTTTTTCTAAACTTCATCTTCCAAAAACATCTTAACTGGCAATTTAAGGCTCACAGGGCAGATCAAATAACTTACTTTTCAATTTTCTTCTTTTGTTCTTTTTGCCTTTGTTGTTCTTTTACTTGTTCTCTCTCAATATCCATGAAAAGTCGTCTATGTCTCAGGTACTGCTTTTGACGCTAAGGAAAGAAGTTAAAATTACTAAGATTCTGCTTTCAGAGGAATTTCCAAGGAAGAAAAATATTCTTATACCATAGACAAAAACAAACAGCGAGCAAACAAAAATAGATGATATAGAAGTTACATGGGATTAAGTCTTTAATTTCCTTCTGTCTGTGGTCACTCAGGATGTCACATACACAAGAATTTTATATTTTCAAGCACATAGCTATTATATGTTAATAGGCAAACCAGAGAAAGTATTTACTCTGTGTTACTCTGAAATATTTATTCTGTGTTCCCAAGTAGTAAGTACCATAAAAGCAGGGCCACAGAAAGAATGTAGAAGATATTTTGTAACAGAACAATAGTTACTTTAACTTTTCAAAATTAAAACAGTATCACAAAAGCATACTCTAAGCCTAGCCTAATATGGCACAGAGGAGGGTAGAAGGGCTGAGGTATAATAAAGCCTCAGACTCATAAACAACATGAGTAGAATAAAAGCAAGTCCTACTAGACTGTATGTGATCTGTTCGTACCTCTGGATTTATATACACTCTTTTAAATACACAAGCTATTCAATGAGCAAAAAGCATGTCTATGTATATACCAGAGTAGTACAGGGCTTTTTGCTAAAAATTATTGAAGGTCTATACTCAATACTGAGGATGCATCAGAATCACCAGTGGTATTTTTAAAAAACAAAAATGCCCTAAACCTCCGTTTTCAGATATTGATCTGGTGTATCTGGTTTAGATCTAGGCATATTTGTATTTTGAAAAAAACTTCCCATCTGATTCTGGTGCATGGCCAGGTTTAAGAACTATTGGTTTAAACTAACTTTAGATTGAAAAGAGAGAGAGAAAAAAAAGAAAGCCATAAAGTAATTATCTTCCTTTAAATAAGTTATAGTGGCAAATATACATTAGCTGGAGAAATTTATTAGTATACAATAATTGGTTTCATATCAATGTACCCTAACTCATAGGAGCTTGGAAAAGAAATTCAACACATTATAACGAGTGAAGCAACTTTTATTTTATTTATGAAATTTGTGGTATTAGCTCTTTTATGTGTTAGGACACAACAAATTGTTTCCAATTTCTCATATATTAATACTATCATAGTAGAAATATTGGTGTCCAAAAGCAGTATCATTACATACCTCTTTCTTATCTTCTTCTTTATCTACGCCAGACTGAAATGCGAGTGGAGCTTGGAATTCAGTGCTCAATCCTGATCGATATCCATCATAAGCCTGTTAGAAGGTCCAGTCATACAAAGTGACAAAATTACCAAAAACTATCTCATGAGCCATTTTGATATTTTTAACTAGTCTTTTCTTTTGCAAACTTGGGCTCAATTGGATAAAGAAGCAAAAAATAAATAAACAAATAAAAAGGGGGATATAAAGAATAAAATCAAAAAAGAATGAAAGGAAGCCATTTCAGAAGGAATTAACCAAACACAAAATAATAAATCGAAGAAAAGGGTTCAGGTCAAAAATATGAATAAACAAAAAATTAAAATGTTCAGAATGAAAATTCTTTTAAAGTGGTCACTTGAAATCACTGTCATGAGTGTACTTGGAATAGAATCTAGGATAAATAGCCAGATTCCTTAATATTTCAATTCTACATATGATCACTTTGAATTTATAAAACCCTCTTAGTGTGCATGAGTTGAGAGAAAATATGATATCAACAACTGGAATGGCATGGAGGAAACAGGCTAATTTCCACCCATGTTTACTGGGAAAGCCTTATAACTTGGTATATCTACTTGGACATTATATAGGTCAAATGATGATCTCCAACTTTTAGAAATAAAAAGTTTAAAATTATTTAATCTCTAAAGTTTAAAAGTTATTTATCTTTCAACAAGGTTGCAGGATACAAGATCAATATACAAAAATCAATTGTATTTCTATACTTGTAAAGAAAAATCTAGAAAGTAAATTAAGAAAAAATTTACAATTACAATATCTTAAAAAAGAATAAAACACTGAGAAATTTAACAGAGGAAGTGTGAATTTTACACTCTGAAACACACAAAACATTGTTTAAAAAAAATGAAAGATGACCTATATAATGGAAAGACATCCCACGCTTATGGACTGGAAGACCTAATATTGGCAGCATTCCCCAAATCGATCAACAAATTTAATAAACCTCCATCAAAATGTCAGTTGATTCTTGGCAGAAATTGACAAGATGATCCTAAAATTCTTATGAAAATGCAAGGGACCCAGAATAGCTAAGACAGTCTTGAAAAAGAACAAAGTTAGGGGACTCTTCCTAACATCAAAACTTACTACAAAGATACAATAATCAAGACAAACTGTACTAATTCAAGGATAGATATGCCATAGATCAATAGAATAAAAGTGAGAGTTCAGAAATAAACTCTTACATTTATAATGCATTGATTTTCAATAAGAGTGCCAAGACAATTCAATTGAAAAATAAACGTCTTTTTAACAGATGATTCTGGGACACAGGTTATGCACATGCAAAAGAATGAAGTTGGACCTCTCCCTAACACTATACACAAAAATTTACTCAAAATTGATCATAGGCCTAAATATAACAGCTAATACTATAAGACTTAGAAGAATGCATAGGAGTACATCTTCATGATTTTGGCTTAGGGAATGGGTTCTTAGATATGACAATAAAAGCACAAACCACGAAAGAAAAAGTGGACAAATTAGACTTTGTCAAAACTAAAAACTTTTGTGCTGCAGAGGAAACCACCAAGAAAGTGAAAGGCAACACACAGACAGGAGAACATCTGCAAATCATATGTATCTGATAAGGGACTTGTATGTGGAACATATTATGAATTCTCACACTCAATAATCACAACACAAATAACCCAATTACAAAATGGGCAAAGCATCTAACAGTTCTCCAAGCAAGATATACAAATGGTCAGTAAGCACATGAAAAGGTGTTCAACATCATTAGCTATCAGGAAAATACAAATCAAAAGTATAGTGAGGTGCTACTTCACACCCACTTGGATGGCAATAATTAAAAATACAGATAATACCAAGTGTTGATGAGGATGTAAAGAAATTTGAGCCCTCGCATACTGCTGGTGGGAGTGAAAAATGGTGCAGCCACTTTGGAAAAATCAGTTTGGCAGGTCCTCAGAAGGTCAAGCACAGTTATCATACATTCCACCAACTCCACTATGAGGTATATGCCCAAGAGAAGTGAAAAATATGCCCACAAAAAAAAATTGTACACAAATGTTCACAGCAGTATTATTCCTAACAGCCAAGAAATAAGCCAAACTTCCATCATTTGATGAATAAAATGTGCTATATGCACAAAATAGAATATTTCTCAGCAGTGAATAGGAACGAAGTACTGCTATATGCTACATCAGTGGATTTTGAAAACATCTGCTAAGTGAAAGAAGCCAGTCACAAAAGGTCATATCTTTCATGGTCTCCTTTGCACAGACTATCCAGAACAGGCAAATCTGTAAAGACAGAAAATAGCTTAGTGGTTGCCTAGGACTGGATGTGGGGCTAAAGGGAAAAGGGGAGTGGTACAGGACTTTTAGCGGGTGATGAAAATGTTCTGAGACTGATTGTGGTTAATGCCACAAACACAACCTGTGATTTTTGCACAACCCTGTAAATACTAAAAACACTGTATACTTTAAATAGGTCAATTGTATGGTATGTGAATTACAATCATTCATTATTTGCATATTATATATTTGCAAATTTGCCTATTCACTAAAATTTGTGTGTAATCCCAGTACTCAAGGTGTTTTTGCAGGCCTTTGCAGACATGCACAGAGCTGTGAAAAATGTGAGTCACCCAACATGCATGTTGCCAACTGAGGCTGACCAAGGTGATACTCTGCCTTTTTGTTTCAGCTGTCATGCTGTAAACAAGTGTCCTTTTTGCAGTCTATTTGGTGCCACGTGTTTGCATGTTTGTGTTCTATGTTGGTGATTTCACTGTTAAAATGGTCCCCATGCATAGCTGAAGTACTATCTATTATTACTAAGCACAAAAAGGCAGTGGTGTATCTTATGGAAAAAATATGCGTGTTAGATAAGCTTCATTCCAGCATGAGTTACAGTGCTGTTGGCTGTGAGTTCATGTTAACAGATCAACCATGTATATTAAATAAGGTGTTTTAAAGAGAAATATATATAAAATAAGGTTATGTAGTGATTAGCTAACAAAAATTGTATGACCAGAGGCTTGCAGGAATCTAACCCAGTTATCTCCCCTAGGAGCAAAAATTCAGTATTTCCTGATTCAGTGTTTGTAACAACTTTATATAACACAACTACTATGAATAACAAGAATAAATTGTTTATATCAATAAAGCTATTATTATTTTAAAAGTATTTGTTTTGTGACTCTAAAAGTCTGAAAATCTATACAGCAAAATGTTAATGAGAAGTATCTCTAAAATTTTGGTTATCTTTTTCATTTGTGCTTATCTTCTCTATAATAAAAATGAAATTACTTTCTGTTTTCAATAAAGAAAACTGGACTCCCAGTACTCGCCAACGATGAAGCACACTTTGGGCTCTCTCTCTTGCTCTCATTGATTGTAACTAAGACTTCTAGGAAATGTAGCTCCTGGGATCTGGAGAGCGTAGGGGGTAACCTAGAGAGAAGTGAGCTAGAAAGTGGACCCCTTAATTCTGTGTGTGAACTCGCACATATCTCAGAATCACCCCTGAACTGTGCATGCATGGGACAGACCTATAGGAATATATTAAAAGCTTTGAAAACTAACTAAACATTGGAGCCACTGTGCACAGGAGAGATCACTTACAGTTGGAATTTAACCAGGTTGACTGCCTGCTAGAATAAACAACAAAAGAGACAATATTCTTCAGAGGATTTTAACAGAAACCAGAGTCTCAAAATATAATATTAAAAATGTTAGCCTGGTGGCTAACATGGTGTCTCATGCCTGTAATCCCAGCACTTTGGGAGGGCAAGGCAGGTGGATTACTTGAGGTCAGGAGTTCAAGACCAGCCTGGCCAACATGGCAAAACCCTGTCTTCACTAAAAATAAAAAATAAAAAAATTAGCCAGGAGTGGTAGCACACGCCTGTAATGCCAGCTACTAGGGAGGCTGAAACACGAGAATCACTTGAACTCAGGAAGCAGAGGTTGCAGTGAGCCGAGATCACGCCACTGCACTCCAGCCTGGATGACAGAGCAAGACTCCATCTCAAAAAAAAAAAAAGTCTAGGATACAACTTAAAGTTAGTTGACATAGAAAAAAGCAGGAAGATGTGACCAACTTTGAGGGGTGAAGATAATAAACATATCCCAACTCCAGGGTGACCCAGATGTTGAATTAACAGACAAAACCTTTAAAGCAGTGATTAATACTATATCTATGAGGAAAAGGCAAACCCAATTGAAGTGAAAGAAAATACAGAGGTTCTCAGCACAAAAATAAAAATTATTTAAAAATACAGATCCAACTTTTAGAGACAGAAAAACACAATACGTGAAATCAAAATTTCACAGGATAGACTCAATAGAAGAATGAAAAAAAAGTCAGCGAACTTGAATCTACTGGATCAATATAAATGATCCAATGTGAAGAACAAAGAGAAAAAACAAGACTGGAAAAAAACCGAACAGCATGTCGATGATGCATCTGTGGGACAATATCAAAAGCTCTAACATTTGTGTCAATGGAGTTGCAGAAGGAAAGGAGAAAATAATTGGTACATAAAAAACATTTGAAGACATAATGGCAAAAAACTTCCCAAATTTGGTCAAAGATACAGATTTACAGATTGAAAATGTTCATCATACCTGAGATGGGATAAACTAAAAAACATTAAGCCTAGACACATCATAATTAAACTGCTGGAAACCAAAAAATAACAAGAGTTTTGAAAGTAGCCAGAAAAAATAGACATATTACATATAGAAGAACAATGACTCAAATAATTATAAATTTGCTATCAAAGACTGGAAACCAGAAGACAGTGGAACAGTATTTTTGATGTGCTGAAAGAAAAGAACTGTCAATCCAGAAATCCATATCCAGTAAAAATAAATTTTAGGACTGATGACAAAAGAGATATTCTCAGATGAAAGAAAATTAAGCAAATGCATTGCTACAAGACCTGCACCACAAGAAAAGGTAAAGAAAGTTAGCTGGAAAATGATACCAGGGAGGAATTTGAAACTTCAGGAATGAAAGACAAGCAACAAAAAGAGTCAGTAAGTAGAGACTCTCGGCCG